AGTTTCTCCTATCCAGGGCAGATGTCTTATCACTTTCTTAATAAGTGTTTTTTGAAGCCCAAATTATTTTAATTTTTTTTTTTTTTTTTTACATTGAGTATCCTTTATTTGAAATGCTGGGGCCAGAAGTGTTTCACACTTCAGAGTTTTTTTGGACTTTGGAATACTTGCATAGATTTTACTCAATTCAAAAACCCCAAGTCTGAAATGCTTCAAATTCTAAAGCAGCATCATGTCATATTTAGGATCCCCAACCTGTACTGTGTTAAAGATAAAATGTGAAGTTCCAAATCAGCTGCTGAGAGAGAATCCCTTTACAAAAAGGTGGAGAGCAGGTTTCTGTGTGTTACCTAGCAGACTGAATCACTCTGGAAAATAGGACAGCCAATCAGAATTTTGGTATTATTGCTGCAATCTTTCCTCTCCTGTCCACATCAGCACGACAAACTAACACTCTCTTTTTCTGGGCACATTGTTCTCAATACAATAGGGAAAACAAGGAACCTTTAGGGAAAGGAGGCTGAACAGCTAAACGGTGCAGTTATTTATATTCTGAAATAGTGTAAGAACTAAGTGAATACTCTCCGGTGGCATGTGGCCATCAGAAAGGAAAGGGAATGATGAGTCCACCAGGGCACTGAGAAGTCCTTCTGTCATGGCTGGATTTTCAGATAAATTCACAAGCAGCTTCAAAACTCGAACCTTGGTTGTCCCACTTCCAGTCAGTAACACGTGCAACAGGTCTGTAAGGAAACTGTTCAGCATGTGCTGGTGCTCATTGGTAACTGTCATGTTTGTTAGCAGTCTCAGCCCAGCCAGCTGCACAGCAGAGTCCAGGGGACCGGACAGGACGTCCTCGCAGACTTGACTGATGGATATCTTTATCTTGATTTGATTTTCAACATTCACACTCAGGTTATTTAGTGCATTTAAAGCTTTCTCTTTAATACTCTGGTTTGGACTGTTGATTTTCCTTCCAACAATTGGAGTACCATCCAATTCACGAATAATTGCTTGGTTGGTTGAAAAGACCGCACTGTTACCCAGAGTGACCAAAGCTTTTTCAGTAATTACAGGATCCTCGGTTGATTCAAGCAGGTAGAAGAGCTCTGCACAGTGGCAGTATGGTAGCCAATGAGGTTTATCCGAGGCGCGATTATTGCTAATTGAAAACTTTTCCCAAGCAGGAAGAGGAGTTTCTGAAGTTGTTCAGCATTTAGGATATCATCGTATGAACCATTGGTTAAATCTTCTGCGGACCGCGAGGAGCGCAGCCCGTGCCCGCCCTGCTGCCGGCCGCGAGCCAGGCGGTACAGGCAGAAGTGGGCGCCCGCGCACAGGGCCGGGCCCGCCGCCACCCAACCTGAGGCCCGTGGGCCGCCGCACGACTGCGCGACAAGGAAACATTATTATTTTAATTTTGATGAAGTGCAATTAATTTTTTCCCCCTCTTTGGTTGGTTGTGCTTTTTAGTGCCACCTCTAAGAACTAGTGCCTAATTCAAGGTCATGAAAATTTATGGTTATAGTTTTTCTAAGAGTTTCATAATTTTACCTCTTACAGTGTTTTTTTTTTTTTTTTTTTTTGGTCAGTACTGGGAATTGAACCCAGGGTTAACATGGAGCGGCATCTCTAAATCTTTTAAATTTGCAATACAGTCTAAGTTGCCCAGACTGGCCTTGATTCTATTTCAGCTAAGTAGCTGGGATTACATGTGTGCACCACAATACTCAGCTCTTTTAAATTGCTGGTGTTGGGTACTGTCTTAGTAACAGGAAGTTCATGAGAGACACTGGTATGTAATTTTCTTGTACAACATTCTTAATAAGAGCTGGATATCAGAATCATGCTGGCCTCATGAAATGAGTTGGTGTTTCTTACTGCTCTATTATCTGAAATAGTGTAGGATTGGTACACTCTTATATGTCTGAAAAAATTCATAGATGCAGTCACCTGAGGCTAGATTTCTTTTGTGGTTTTTTTTTTCTTACAAATTCAATTTCTTAAATACTGGGTTATTTAGATTTTTTTCCATCTGTTTCTATTTTTATTTTGGTGGTACTGGGGATCAAATCTAAGCCCTTGCACATGCTAGCCAAGTGCTTTATCACTGAGTTATACTCCTAGCTCTCATGTTAGTTTTTATAATTGTATTTTCTAGAAAGCTGTGTATTTCACTTAAATTGTGGAATTTACTGGCATAAAATTCTTCACAGTATCCCTTTAATATTTATATAATCTCATTAGAATTTTCATTAAAGTATAAATTTCTGTACACAAAAATAGATGACCATAATGAATCAAGAAAAAGATGTTAATATAAAGCAGGGGAAGTAATCCATTGGTGGAAAGGGGGAATTATATGACAGTATGACATATATTATTTGAGGTACACAGAGAACACATAAAGAAGAAGGATATAGTCCAATTAAGAGAATCAAGATGGCCAACTCGTGAGTTAGCTGGCTTATCTACAGATAAATATAATCACATTAAGAGCAAAAGAGAAGGCCAAGACTCAGATCCCCAAGTTACCTACCTGTGAAGGCCTGCAGTCAACTGGCTCTACTTTTCCTGGCACAGCTTTAATTAAAAATAAAACTTCATAAGAAAGGGGGAAAAAACCCCTCAAACAAGGTAGAAAATTTCAAAAAACAAAAATAACTCGGATTTTGACATTCTTCCAGATCTTTTCCTACACACACACATATACACACCTATATATACATATACATATACATGTTCTATGCATGCTAATCTGTAGGCTGCTTTTTTCTTAGGGAAAACCCAGCCTATTATTCTATGGACATATTTTTATATAAATACAATTTAAAAACATTGTCTTTAATGGGCTGAGTATTCCACTGTATGCAGGCATCATAATTTTCTTGTGTTCTACTGTTATTTCTAAAAGCATTTACATATTGTATTAAAAAGTCATGGCAGGGCTGGGGATTTAGCTCAGTGGTGCCGCTGCCTACTTTGCAAACGCAAAGTCCCGATTCGATCCCCAGTACCAAAAAAACCAAAAAAACAACAAAAAGTCATGGCAAACAATATTCTTGTGACTCTCTCATTTTTCTTTTCCTTAATGCCTCAGAAATGAGATTTCTGGGGCTAAAACTAATGCATATTTTAAATTTTGCTAAACAAGAAGGTATCAATTTCATCTTCAGACCAACACTACACAACAGGAATTGTATTCCCACACTCATACCAATAATGATAGACAAAAAAGATGCTTGGAAGTTGTACATTTATTCATTTATTAATTGCGTGTTTGGTATCTCTTGCCAGTTTTTATTATTTGGGGCATTTAAGTTTTTTTTGGTTTTTTGAAACAGGGTCTCACTGTGTAGTTCAGGATGACCTTGAACTCACTATGTAGCCCAGGCTGGCCTCAAACTTGCTGTGATCCTCCTGCCTCAGCCTCCAGAGTGCTGGGATTACAGGTGTGCAGCACCATGCCCGGCTTTTTTTTTTAAATAATTTTTTTTTTTTAGTTGGTACTGGGGATTGAACTCAGGACCTTGGGCTTGCCAGGCAACTGCAGTGGCACTGAACTATATCCCTGGCCCTTGGGGCATTTAAGTTTTTAACTGATTTTCTAAGAACTCTGTATACTAAGAATACTTTTTTTTTTATTGCAAATGATGCACATTGTTTTCAACTTTGTATGCAAGTTACAATCTTCATGCGGTTAAATTTTTCCATTTTTTTCCTTTTAGTTTCTAGTTCTTGTTTCATACTTGGAAAAATCCTAGGCAACCTCAAGAATACTATCACATTCACTTTGATTTTCTTCCACCTTTAGTTTCTTCCAGTAAGTCATCTAGCATTTATTCTGGTGTGAGAAATGAGACAGATGTAAAGTTTCTTTTCACTGATTAGTCATTTCACCAATGATCTCACTGAGCACGGATTTACAATGTAGTTTACTGGTTACTACTTAGACTTCTGGAGTTGTCTGGCTTCAACATTTTTAAGTAATGGCTCTGGGAAACTTTACAATATAGAAATAATTGTATTTACATTACAGAGCTGGGAAAGGGTAAATAATTTGAAAAAGTGCTCCACCACTTGATGCCTAAGTGCTTATCAGATGTGAGCTCTTATTATTAATACTAAACACACTAGCAGCAATTTACTTCTGGACACTATTCTGTTCATGTATCTGTCACATCTCATTTATAAAATCCTCTAGTAATACTATCCTTTCTGATGGTCTTTTCTTTCAACAAGAGATCACATTTCATTTGTTCTTTTAAAGGGCCTGAATATAGTAACTTGGCAAGTAAAAATAAGGTGTGATTTAAACAGTGAAAAATCAAAATCCAAACACAAACTAAGGCACTGAACAAATGTGGAGGAAGAGAGGGTGCCTGTTTCTCTTGCCATCTATTCTGAAAGAATGAGTCCTTCCATATTTCTTCCTTTGGTTACAAATAATATTATTGTCAGAGCTGGTGCCCTTCCACCTCTACAGCCTGGAGACAAGTAGTTACCATGTTGTCGAGTAGGCCAACGAGGCCCAGAGACTTGACGCAGGAGTGATTCCCTCCTGGGCCCCGGTCCTGACTGTGGGCTCTCTCACGACAAGCTGAGCCAGCTACCCATCTGAGGAATGATGTCCCCGGGCATGGGTAGGAGACGAGCTGGGGAGCTGGAAAACAGGCCCGCGCAGATGGAGACGGCATGCGGGCAGAAGTGGCGGCACCATTATCCCGAAGTCTTCGGGTAAGGGGCGCGCGACGCTCGGCAAATGGAAGGAGATGCCGCGTCCTGCGGACGCACGGCAAACACCTTCTCGCTCTGGCTCCTGGAGAGGGGGACTTGCCGCTATTGCCCTGTGGGCTCCAGCAGGCCGCCCGCACTCGCCGCACCCACTGCAGCCAGCACCCTCCCTGCGGCGGTTTGCGCGCCTCCCGCCTCCAACGGCTCCGCCGGAGGCGCGCGCGCGCGCGCGCGGCACGGTGACGTCACACAGGGCGGGACTTCCTGTCTCGCGCACCGCCGAGAGTCAGAACAGAGCTCTCGGGGCGCGGGAGGTGGTAGGCGTGCCGCGGGTAGAGGGGGCGCTCAGCAGCTTGTGGGAGGCCAGGCTGGCCCCTTAGCCTGAGAGTCGACTGGCCGAGGAGGCGAGGAGGGGCCCTTCGTCCGCTCCCCCTCGGAGCTCTTCCAGAATACCTGAGTTCGCTCAGGGCCGCGAGCCCGAGGGTCCCGCGCGGCCCTCCTACCCCTCGGCAGCCCTCGGCCGCCGGGACCTCGCCAGGCGTGGCAGGCTGGGCGACACCCCGGCTGGGGGACCGTGTCCCGCAGCCCCAATGCCGCCGCGAGCAGAGTGGAGTGGCTGCAGGTGGTTGGAAGCGTGGAGGTGTCCCCCGGTGGCGAGTGCGCCCAGGACACCGGTCTCTGACAAGTTTTGTGCGCGCGCGTTGCAGGGACAGTGTGTGTGAGTCTGGTACGTAGCCTCTCTTTCTGGGGACGCTGTCTCTGGCCGGTATTTGGGAATCTTCCCTCCCAGCCCCCGCAACCTGCCCTTGAATCCCCTCCACGTCTGGTCCTTTACTTCCAGAGTCCTCGGAGCGCGTGTTCTGTAGCCAGCGAAGAGCACGTGGAAGTCCGAATGCAGGTTTTTGATTCACTTGGGAGTTGGTTAGCCAGTTGAGGAATTGGCTAGATGGATGGCGCCTCCAGTTTAATTTGTGATGAAAACGCTGTGCTACGCTTTTCCGTAGCTTTGAAGACAATTTTAGCAGTGATGTTTGCTGTCATTATTGAGATAACGTCTGAAATATGTTAGTGTATTTTGGCCTTGAGTGGATACTTTGGTAAATCCTCATTGTCCAACTTTTGACCATCCTATATAGACATTTTGGTCTTAAAAATGCCCATTGCCAAATAGTTTAAAAGCCTCATATTACTTACAATGATGGAGCCATTTCAAATCTCAGCAATAAGGCAATCTAGGATAAGGAGAAACTTGTTCTGATTTTTTTATATATACATTCTTAATATGTTCGGACTGAGTACAAAGTACTGGAGCAGGTTTAGAACTGAGTAGATTGTTAAAGCAGTGCTTCTGTTACCAAGCAACACCACTGTAAACAATTCCAGTATTCAAGTAGAACATAATTAAAGGTATCTATCCTACAATTATCTGGGATCAGAATTCTCTAAATTAATGAATTTAGCCTGTTGGTTACAGTTAATAATTCACCTTTTGTCTTCAGATTTTGTTTCAAACACGTTTTGTTTAGAATTGTCAGAATGGTTTATATTTCAATGTTACACAGAACACTCAAAAGAGTTTCATATGGGTTGGAGTTGCTAATTTTGGTTATTTAGGACAGAGTGTACTGGGTATTCCTCTTTGAGAATTTTCTTTTTCTAAGTGAAGTATACAGACTATCTTTGGGAATAGTTTCAAGTAACAGCAGCGAAATATCTATTTAGAGTTCAATACAGCATTTGGGAACTTGAAACACTGCTTATTTACAAGCCATTTTAAAAATTTTAAATTTTTTATTAGTACATGTTGCAGTACATACTGTTTACATTCGTTGTGTGGCGTTGGCACACATACATAACACATCTTAATTCCTTTTTTCATTTTCTTACAATCCTCCATCTAACCAGTCACCTCAATTTTCTCCATTCATTGAACCCCTAATATAATTTGTATGGCAAATTGTTAAGTTTTCAGAGCACTTTTTAAATTATCTTTTGAATGCAATAACCTTTCAAGTTAGTGTATATGAGTTGAGACATAGTAATACAAATGACCTTTTTGAAATCAAACTATTAGTAATGGAAATTGGGACCTCAAGTTTATATCATACCTTACTGCAGTGATGGTGAATCTTTTAGAGACCAAGTGCCCAAACTGCAGCTCCAAACTCACTTATTTATTGCAAAGTGCCAACATTGCAATTAAACCTGAATACTGAGATTTTAGTTTAGAAAAAACAGCTCGTACGTGACTACCTTTTGTCTTAAAAGAAAAATACAGTAATATGTAATAGGTTTACCACCACTGCCCTACTGTATTGCTAAAATCTATAGATTTCAGGTAGTTCTCATACTCGACCCTCTCATCTGCTGATGTTGAAGTAATGAAATAATTCAGAAATTGGGCAAGACTGAGAGGGAAGAAAATCAAGAATGACTTGTGTGGTAAAATCCTTAGTAATTAGAAATCAGTATTCTAGGGCCAGGGATTTAGCTCAGTGGTTCCGACGCCTGCTTCACAAGTGCAAGGTCCCGAGTTCGATCCCAGGTACTAAAAAAAAAAATAAAAATCAGTATTCTATCTCAGGAAGTTCAAGAAATTTAGCGTGAAATCTTAACTGAAAAACTAGTGAATTGTCAGGTTTTTTTTCCTTCTGAGTACTATCTCTACCTAAAGAGAGTGAGTTTGATTTTAATTTTGTCATATATAATGTGTTAGGCTCAGTAAATAATATTCTTACCTTATTTAACCTGTGTAGCACTTTTGGGTAATGTGTGTGTATTTAGGTAATGTCCCACTAACTGAACTTCTCAGCTTGAGGTGAACTCTTCAAAATCTTCTCACCTTGCCTTTCCAAGCTTATTTTCTTGATAGAAAACATGTCCTTGTCCTCTAAGACTTCCATGTGCTTTCTCCTGTATCAGTCATGATGTCATTTCACTTCCTTAACACAATTTCTCCCTTTCTTAAAATGTAAATTATACCTTTTCTATAAAGTTCAACTCCACCTTGACCTCTGAAGTCCTGTAGTAAATATTTGTCATACTTAATACATTATACTATATTATTTTATCTTTTCGTTTGTCTTACCTTCTTAACTAGATTTTAAGTTCTTTTAAGGGTAAGACAGCCCATCTGAGCTTTATTCTTTGTTTTTTCCAAATAGAAGTTACTGAATAAATGTTTCATAAAGATGATGAATGTACATTTCTACTTTTTCTTCACCCCTTCTATGATATAAGACATAAGAACATTATCGAGAGAGGAAGTAACTTTTGTAGGAAGGGCAACAATAAACCATAAGAAGGGAGGGGGGATTGATTTAAAGAGAGGGGGTTCATTTGAATCAGGAGAGGTTCTGTTCCTAGAAAGTGAATATTGGAGAAATTCCCCTGACAATACCAGCAGTGAGGACTCCCTCAGGAATCCTGGCACCATTCCCATGTGGCCTCGAGGAGTTTGGTCCATTTCCTGGTTCTTCCCTTGTAGACTCTTAAGTAGAATCTTAATTTAAAAAAAATCAATCTCTGCTCTTTGTCTTCTCCCTTTCCTCTTTCACCCTCCTCACATTCCACATTCCCATCTTCTTATTTTACACCTGCCCATCCTGCTTTTTGACCAGGTCAAGACTTAATTTATGAAATTATGTCAAGACTTTCATTTTGCTCTCATAAATGAACAATTACTGAAGTTTATTATGTACATTTTTTTTCTATTAAGACTGCTCTCTAGATCATGGAGAGATTACTGACTGTCAAGTTTAGTATTTGAGTTATAATCTAGGATGAAAGAAACTAAGAAAGAAATGCCATGTTATTTGCTTTCTGTATGTTGTGACTTCAGATTATGTTTGGATTAAAATTCAGAGCTAGGAAGAACGTAAAACTTCATTCCCTTTTGGAAAGCACTTGTCATTCTCAAAGTATGTCTTTAAAAATTTCAGGTAATTTTTATAATCTTGAAACCCTATATCTAAAGCTTTAAAACAAAGAGTTACTTTAGTTGAAGGAGCAAATATGAAACTGAGCCACAGTACTTTTTGTAAATCTGGGCTTGGTTCAGTTGTTACTTGAGTGAGCTTGCCACCCAGCTTCTGGGCTGTTGCCCAGTAACACCATTGCAGTATAACATAGCAACCAGTGAAAACAGTAGCCTTGGACTATGGGGAGTTTCCTGGTGAAGTTGCAGTGCCTATCTCTGGTGTTCACATTGAATCTCATTCTCTCATTTAAATTACATTTTGGTTTAAGGCAGATATTTCAGATATTGTTAAACCTAAAGCATAATATATGCTCTTAAGTATATTTTTTGGAGCGCTGACAAATTATAACTTTCTGCACATTGTTTTTCACAGAGTTGCATGATAAATATATATTGAGTTGTAGTGTATGTGAAGGACATATAAAAAGATTGATTTGACTAAAAGTTTTGTACAGAAAAGCTATTAAGTAATAACATCAGTGTTCTCTGTAACCAGAGCTGGAGTGATTGAAGCTGAAATGGACTTTTGTATTCTTTTTTGTATTATTACTTCTTCAAACTTAGATCAGTAAACAAAATTTAATAGGTACTGTGATTTTGTGGGAAGAGAATTGTGATTCAGGAGACCAAGACTTGACTGGGTGAGTCACCTAATCTTTCTTAGACTGTTTGCTCATTTGAAAAATCTCTAAAGACTTTTTGTATGCTTCCAATTTTAAGCAACTTGTATTTTTCTCATTCATGGGTTTAGCCATTATTTTGAGTGCCTATTATGTGTCTCGCACCATGCTAGGCACTGGGGAGACTGAGAGTAAGATCTCAAGCACCTTATCTGATGCGAGAAGTGGAGAAAGTAAACAATAATTTGTAATATAACACGATAGATGGTCTAAAGATGCATTCTGGGGCATGCACAGAAGGACACCTGACTAGAACTGCAAATAGAATATGCTGTGAGGAATGGTCGTTAGAATTACTGAGTGTAATTTGATAGTGTACAGAGACGTATTCATCCTGGACTGGAGGGAGTGAGTCAAGGAAAAGTAGGGAACAGAAGTTTCTTGGAGTTGGAGCGACAGCATCAGGAGTCACCAGCAATAGTAATACTTGAGATCCTGGATGTTGATGACATTCCTAGAGAGTGTGTGGCAACCAGAAAATGGCAAACAATGGCATGTAATGGATAGATGGAGAAAGAGAGGGGAGTGAGGAGGAAAACCAGAGTAGATCAAGGTCTCGGATGCCAAGGGAAATGTGCATGTCACATTTAGTTTGTGGTTAAAAGTAGTGCTCAAGAAAGCATCTATTATGCAGTGTTGTCAGTGTAACTCATCTGTAGAAAGATGTCTTCTACAAAGATCTGACTTACAAAGGAAGAGTAAAGTCTTGGTTAAACAGCAAAACAAAGGAAAGAATATGTATTTTAGAATCAGATTTCTGAGTCAAAATTTAAAATCTTGGCTAATTACAAGCTTCTTGGCTTTTCAGACCGGTTAATTTTTTTATCATTGGGCCGGGGATTTAGCTCAGTGGTTCTGGCGCCTGCCGCGAAAGTGCAAGGACCCGAGTTCGATCGTTGGTACCAAAAAAAAAGAAGTTTAAAAAAAAAAATTTTTTTTTATCATTGTCTTCATGTATAAAATGATACTTTTTTCACAAGAATCAGAATCACAGAAGCTAAGTTGTAACGCCTGCCTCAATCATTGTGGACATTCTTTAAATATTGATTTCCATCCATTCCACTATTA